ACAATTTCCTCACATATGCTTGCAATCAGAGACTTACTGCCCTGTGCAATAATTTACCGTACTAACAACACAGGTATTAGCTAAAAGCCCAGACACGCGTGTTTCGCCGATCTTGTGCCGCTGCCTGACGCAGCTGCCGCTGCCCTATCCATTTCTTCGAGTGGTGGAGAATTAGAAATATTCCCTCTTCTAACTCATCGACAAGGGAGTTGTAACTTTGCCCTGAAACCATTTATCTTATCGCAGCATGTCAAAATGCTTACATTTTTTCCTTAAATATAAATGTTCAGTTCATTCATGCAGGTGAATATATCACTTAAATAAGCCGAAATCTGGTTAGCTTCCTGCAATTCCATTCCTCCGATCATTTCATAGTCTCATTTTTTAGAAATGCTTTGACCTCTTCCTGCAGTTCTAAAAAGCGCGTTTAAGCCTTCTTACTTGACAGCCAACGATTCAAGTGAAACCAAACTTCACATAATAATTATTCCATTTTCTTCTCTCTGACATCATTTTCAGTTTCAGTTTATTTCAGTTTATTTGATAAGGATGATAGGCAAAGCCTTTGAAAACCCTATTGATAACATGTCAACTCGTTAGAAATAACTGTACAGTAACAATGAAAATGTTCTCTATATACATAGTACTTGATTCATTTGAGTAGCATTGTCACAGAGAAAAAATATGTGGGGAACCGGGGTGTTTAGCTCAGATTCAGACTGTCGAGAAAAAACAGGGGACACAAATACTCATCCAAGCGTTTCTTGAAGAGTTGCAGGGATGTCGCCTCCACGACTGACTGAGGGAGATCGTTCCATTTCTCCACTACCCTTTGCGTGAAAAATTCAGAACGAAGGTTCAGCCTGGACATTGTTGTCCGTAGCTTCATCGAGTGGCCACGAAGATTGGGTGAGAGGTGCCACTGAAACATGTCCTGGAAGTTAAGTCCATGCTCAAGGCCATTTATTATCTTGTAAACCAGGATTAGATCACCTCTTTGCTGCCTGTAACGCAGAGGGAATAGATTAAGGCAATTCAGTCTGTCCGTGTAGGATTGGTTTTTTAGACCGTTTACCATCTTTGTTGCCCTACGTTGCACCCGTTCGAGGCATGCTTTGTCCTTTACAAGCCATGGCCGCCATGCTTGTATGCCATATTCTAAGTGGGGCCGAACGAAGGTGCCGTAAACTCTCCCAAAAAGGTCTTGGTCAAAGTTAACGAACGCCCTTTTGATTGCATGCAGCACTCCCATTGCGTTTTTTGCAGCCTTGTGGCACTGCAATGTTGGTTTCAAATTGTTCTGTATCCAAACCCCGAGATCCTTCTGTGAAGATTCTGTTAACAATAATACAGGGAATATAACTTACAATATGGACTTAATCGATCTGAAGAAAAACAGAAATAGGTAAGTAATACAGCGTAAGTATGCTCCATAGTTACCAGAGACAGAACTGAAGTGGATTAACCAACGCATGATAATTAACTAGCGTGCATGGCGCTGTCAAATGCAACAGACGTAAATAGTATGCACGGCAAATCTGTTATGGACACATGCACAGGAAAACTGTTTTGAAAGCGCACCAATGTCATGTGGGCAATTTTTAAACAATCATTGGTAGAACTGACATATATGGCTCCCTAAACTGAATATTGGAATAGGAAAGCCCCGCCTATGTAATAAATGTAGACCTGCACATAATTACGGAAAGGGCAAAATATTCCCTTGTCCCAACCCCAACAACAATCCTAGTGTAAAACTAAACCATTGCCCTAATCATAACTCTAAGCCTAACCTAAGCCTTAACTGTGCAGTTAACACTTGGCCTTACCGTAAGTCTGGACGTGATTCGTACTTTACGTAATGCTGACTTTAAATCTGACCTTAAACCTTATCCTTAACCTAACCCCGACCCTAACCTCAAACCTTACTCTAATTTCACTGGAATTCGGCTGAATGCCAGCGGTCCCTGTCGGTTCCTCTTCTCATGTCCTATTCAGGGGCCATATAAATCGGTCCTACCCAGTCATTTCCTTTATTGTAAGCAAAAAATGAAAATAATATCTTGCACGCCCATGACGTGTGGGCAACACTGGTTAGGAAGCCTACCTATACGTAATAACAACAAGACGATTAAGTGACCTACCATAAGACAAATAAGCAACTCGATGTCGAGATTTTCCACATTTACACTTACTGAACTATTCATCCAGTCAGGGAACAATGCGTAGAAATAACCACCTATTACAGTTTATCATTTGCGGACTTGTCCAGGTCCTTTTCGCACAAAAGAGACGAAAGCGCGAATATCCGGGTACGCAGCGTCTGAAGCTTATCTAGTAAGCGGAGGAGTGGAAGATTCTTCATCTTGCAGGAAGAAATGAGTCCTTATTAACAGACTGGAATTTCAGAGGCTGCAGCTACTTTCTACGACCGACTGTACTACGTGTGGAGGGTTTTTTGTCTGGTTGTTCTTACTGTTCAGCTTGGTGTTTTGGACTGTGGACGGTCCGAGAAAACAGAACTGAAGGAACATTGTGAGTCCTCTAAACCAGATTGAATGTTTAGATTAGATCAACACGGCGTCATTTGGCTGAAGGTCAAGGAAATTAGGCCTTCAAGAAACTCTTAAGTGTGCGAGTGCCACAGGAATCTGACGTGCGTTAACACTTGGTAGCAAACCTATTCAACGCCAAGGTGGCATTTGAAACAGTGATCGAAAAGAGGTCAAACAATTGCATATTTGATGCAATAAGATTATTCTATAAAGTACCGAGCATTTACGAATGAAGTAAATGAATGTGTGCCTCACTGAGTGGACTTAGCACCTCGGATTAGTTTATAATGAGGCCGACTTGCACAGCGTCTACCACGCTTTCTTACCCACCCACTAGTCTCCGATGTCAAGGCACTGTCAAGATGGCCGTAGGTGGGTGTCGTTGCAGTTCCTGGCCAGACCAGACAGACCGTCAAGGCAGACCAGACACGACCTGGTCCATGCACAGTGTACCAGGTCGTCAGAGAAAGGGGACCACGACTCTCATATCCGTGAGAGTGCCACAGAGGCCATACCCAGAAGGAGCCATTCAGCTTCACACTCAGTCCTCGATCCCATCACCCCACATCGACAGTTTGACCGTCGTCGATTTCAACAATGTCCACCGTTTGTTCCATAGCAGGGTGAGAGCAGGGACAGTGAACTGTGTGTGGACTTGCGATGCATCTAGCACACTCCCTCCTTCTCCCCCAATTGTGTCAGCCGACCGTCTGAGCCTACCAACCGTCCAGCGAGTAAATGTGACCGTTTTTTTCGAACAGTTTCATTAAGGTCCATGCGATGACCGAATATCCTTGAGAGGTGTGGGCGGGTACGACAGGGGCGCCAGTCCCAGTGCAGTGGCGTCGAAACTGACTGGCCAGGCCTATGCGTCACGAGAAGGTGCAGTTGCAATTGAGACAAGTCGGAATCGGCTCCACACTGTTCTTGGTAGGGGCAGTGGCGGTAATGTCTCGCAGGTCGTTAGGGGTGTGTCTAGAGGTAGTGTTTGTGAAATGAGAGACAGTTCAGTCATGTTGACAGTGCAATGGATCCGCGGATGTCCAGTGAAGCCGATCCGTGATCGTAAGGTCCTTTGCCAGGATGGACATGTTGGTGGGGTTTGGGTGCTGACATCATTTGTCCGTAGCACTCGATTCTCGCAGACCTCTCTCATTTCCTTGGTAACGGTTATAATGTTGACTTTCAAGATGGCCGCTCCGGACTTTGCGGCAGTACGTCATGCTTGTCGATATTGAATAGCCCATCCTACATCCTCTCTTTCCCCACTCACCCACCAGGTATGACAGTGTCAAGATGGCCTGATGTAAGTGTGGTAACAGCGGCTGCCAATGTTAAACAACCCGTTTGGGCTCGCCGCACACGACCTGGCTCCCACAGCATCCATCAGGATTCCTTGAGGGTGACTCAAATTTCATGTACTTGACTGTGCCATATCGCTAGTCAGTTGGCATACCTCTCAGCCATGACTCTTAACGCCGCGTAATACACTCAAGTGCGTCAGGTTTATTACTGGTAAGAAAGGCGTAGGGCTGGACTCGCCGGTGTCAGTCTCAAATGTCCGAGCCTGCTAACGAGCTGTTGATACAGTGGGTGACAAAGCTAGACAACCGGCTACGAGAACCACGCATGACACGATAAGGTAAACTGGAGTGCAAGACGGACATGCCTGTCACAGCTAGACACGATTCCGTAGATGTTTTCCTGCACCATGAGCCGAAGAACGTGATTGGGCGGAAGTCTGTCCTGAATTTTCATCCTGTTACGAGACCTGTATAGCTGTTTCCTAGGAAATTTCAACTCAAAATACAACTAAAGGTTATTTTTCTATGTGGCAGCTGCAGCCTTGATGCCTGCTAACAGTCCTTGGTCTGATCAAATGGTTTGCAATACGCCATATGCCATGTGTACCTACCGTGACAGAAGAGTAAAAGGGTGCTCCCAGCATCAGGGGTATTTCAATTTGCATATACGTAACTTTAAGTGTAAATTCGTTATGCGTTCTCTGGGAAAGTTATGCGTAGAACAAGAAACGAGAAGGTCGCCATGACTCAAATTTTCCCGGTCTTCTTCGTCTTGGCCAGGTAATGCGTCGCTTGTTTTGGTATGTTTGCCAATCATTTCACGGAATACTTTCGGCTGATTAGTAGCTAGCAAGTAACCTTGTGGTGAAGCGACAAATGCTGTAACGCATTTTTCAAATGCTATTTCTGGATACTAATCACCCCTAGCTGGATGGAGGAGTCATAATACCTCCCACCCAAGAACACGTTAGTCCAACATCTCACCTCATTAATTGCAATCATTTGGGCACCCAGCAGCATTTCGAACGTTATATCCTTTGGAAGATGATTAGACCTCTGCTGAGCAGCATGGAACCTCAACAGGAATATGGACAACCTGAAGCAATATGCGCGGTGCGACAGTTTTGGGCGTATTAGCCAATCAACGATCAATGACGCAGGTCTGGAGTTGACTGCGCAGGGCTCTGTATGCGGGAGCCAACTCGATACACTGATAAACGGAGTTCCCACCCGAAGCCCAGGTTTCAATTACTTCTCGACTTGTCTTGCTGCCGACGTGGGCAATTATCTTGACGATTACGAATTTAAACTCATGACCACTTTCGTAGGTGCGGCCAACCGCTTTCGATAATTCGTTATCCCATCCCACAGCCAGCTTATATTGGTTTATGTGTGATCCAAGCACGCGTTCAGTCTGGCCTGCAAAGTTACAAGGACAGTTTATGCACGGGATACAATATACGACCACAGACTGCTCATTGGGATGTAACTGGTCTTTGAATATTATGGCCCTGTTGCACATTGTAGCTTCGAGGCGGTGCGCAATTCCTGAACTGGCTGATAGGCTAGCAAAACTAAAAGTCGGAGGTTTGGACAGTCATGTTTTAATCACGTGTTATGTGGCACTTATGTCACTCACACTTGTGCGAGGCCAGATATGCCTCAGAAATGAACTGTAGCGCACTTTGACGTAGGCACTAGGCGGCATGTGGCATGCGTGGAAGGTGAATTCATGTCAAGTCAACAAATGCGTCCAATTTCACTGGCAGTCGGTCTGACCCGGAGATGCACCTGACGCATGAGAAATGCAGATACCAAGAAATAGGTCCTCGTGGCAAATCAACGAATTCCTCAATGTATGACACCTGTTGCGCATCTTTTACTGACTTTCTTCCCAACTGATGTTTAACTTAACCCTCTTTATAGTCTTCAACGCTGAAGAACTGTCAAGGCTTCTAAACACAGGGCATATTAAGTATCTTGCCTCTGAAATCTGTCGGTGAGGATATGAGGCATAGTCATTTGCATGTGTTCTTTCATCATGTGATCTAAAGACTGACCTTGCGCACAAATATATGCGTTAGGAGATTGTGATCGGTCGAAGTTAGGGAATCCGATGAGTTTTGCTTAGATCTCGATATTGCATTTTACTATGCTTCCTAATAATACGGTAATAGGCACATAAATAAACGTCTCCAGTAAGCAGACCAAGGCGTCGAGCCTACTACGCGAAACCGGAGAACCCAATAACACTAACCTATATCGCCTTAACATTCCTAATCAGACAGACTACTAATAGCATTCCAGAATCTTGCAACAGTCCCCTTGAGAATCCATCAAATTTCACCCTCCTCCCCCCCCATAACCGCAATCCCCTCCTCACACAGAATATCGAACTACAGGAGAAAGAGATAAATAATCTGAAATGAGGTCTTACAGGTATATATATACAAAAAGAACTACCTATTACACCTAGATCTATGGGGAACTCTGCAAATGCCACAAGACAGTCGGCGAAGTGTGTTGCATATCCGTCTTTTCCAATGCCACAACTCCTAAAATGAAGAAGAAAATGAATCACAACAGTAATCTTTCCGGTGTAACAATGCACAAAGCAGAGTCAGAACTGGGCCTTAACTCACAGTATTCCGCCCACGGTTGCCAATCTGCCAGGGAGGAACAACTAAAAGAGTATGCAAACGCTGCATGTGAAAAGACGAAAAAATTGGAACTCGAATCAACCCAGAGGATTGTCGACTTACAGTTGAGGGCTGATTGCAAGTCGCACGCGTTTACCTGCGCCTTCTGGACATCTGCCTGTGTTCCCGATGGAGACGAGGACTGCGATCTTGACAGGCTGGAGACGACGGTCAACTCACTGCTGGCAAGTGAGTCCTCGTCCCAGTTGTGGACGGGGTAGGGACTCGGCACCCTGGGTGGCCGCCTTGCCGACAGCTGATTCATCCCTAAATGCAGAATTGGAGGACAGTATCGGAGGTAGGCGGTGCTGTGACATGAAAGATGCCAATGGAGGCGGGACTAAAATGAGGAGTACACGTACGCTCAGTGAGAGCTGCGCGTGCTTCAAGAAACTGACAGCGCTTGCATTGCTTCGCCGCCATGCTCATCTGGGGATCCTCGTCCTCGTAGAGGCTGTGACAGAAGGAGACCATTGAGGAGGACTTCGATAAGTTGCCGCCGTCGCCGTCGCCGCCGTCGCCGTCGCCTCCAGACTGCTGATAGTGCTCAGTAATGCAGGGATCAGGCGATACAGTTGGCGACATCGACGAAATGTCCGTCCAAGAGCTAGAAGGTAAGCATTTGCGAGCCGATATTATGCACCGTGTAGTAGGCGCAGGTGGACTTCGGGAGGATAAGGGGCAAGCAATCGGAACACATACGTGAAGGGGTAGGAAAGTCTTCTAGAACGCAGGTCAGTCGGTTGCAAGTCCGCCTTCTGCACCTGCGCGTGTGGATGGGATGCATGAGTTTGTGGGTAGTGTAGGGCATCACCATCGCCCTGGTTACCCATTCCACCGACCATCACACAGTCTCCTATTACACCCGTGTTTTGTGCTGTGGAGAGTGGAGACACCCTGCTCGAGTGCCATCGCCCCACTCGCCTTAGAAGAGCACTCCTCAACTGACTGACATTCCAGTGAGTTAGCAGACCAAGCAATCGTTTCACGATGTTCGGCTGCTTCTTCGCGTCTGTAGAAAAGTGCTGCAGAAGGCCGTCTGTTGGCATCGCAGCGTTCGTAGTCTGGACAAATTTGAAAGCCGCTTGAAGTGCCAATCGATGGATTGTCAGGAGAGCACGTGTTATCTACGACACGTTTTGCATAATGAATGTGAGGCGTGAAGACGCCGATTGAGATGACTAAATGCTTGTGGATGATGGAGAGCTGACAAATGGGAATGTTTTAATAGGCAATTTGACGAGCATACGTCTGCCTGCGAAAAATTCTCTTAAGGCCTGTACAATTATATGGCTAATGAAGGAATGAATTAAAAAGATACGGGCAAGTAGAAAATTAAGCTGTAACTCGGGTTTGGAGAGGAGAGAGAGTGAAATACCACAAATCCATTCAACGCCAGAGAGAAAGTGGGTACCGATGCAGGTAATTATATGCGAGTGGCTGGCTTGGTTGCTTTGAGCCATGGCAACTGTGGGACCTGTATGAAGTTCTTCTGTGCGCATAGGGCCGGTTCGCGCAGACTGATTGTAGCCTCCTCTGTCCTCGCAAACGGGCGCCGCCCAAGTAATTTTGGATAGCTTGATGGGACCTTGTAAATCACTCTGAAGGCCTACGCTGTGTTCTGTGCCTCTCATGTGCGCGAGGATCGAGCTGTTGATGTTCTTTGTTTGTCCCTTTCCTAACTATACTGGAGGATGTTCTTTTGTTCTTTTGGATAAACGCCTGGAACCTCTTATTTCGTAGCCGTACCTTTAAGGGGTTAGGGTTATGTGTTAGGAGTATGGGGTCAGGGTTGGGCGCTAGGGATTAAGGTTAGACCCCCTATTACCACTGATCCCGTATGACAGACGACTAGTGCTTGTCTACTGCAGGTACGGCTGTGAAATAAGATCTGACCAATGAGTCTCTAACCCCTCGCGTAATTAACTGACTCGCCAAGCGTATAACACACACCCTCAGAACTATAAATGCTTCACTTTTACCGCTTTCATTCAACGGGATACGCCTTGCTGCATCGCTTTCTATAGTGACGTGCTGGACAGTGTTCCGACAGTCATCGATTGTATGTTTACCTTGACATTTAAGTCGGGTATTTGTTCCTTTACGTCCAAAAGTTGTTGAAACTATTGGTTAAGGCAGTTGCTGAGGCGCGAGGGGCATATTTGGTAGCGCACTTTTAGCAGTACTTTGCTATGGAGAGTATTAACACTTTATTAGAAAAAACCATCAGATTTGCCGGTATTTGACAGATGGAAGGGTTGCATTTATCTGAAAAGGAAGACGTTGTATCGGACCCTGACCTGCCATTACACTTCTATGATTCACAAAAGTAAGCTAACTTCTCAAGTAGCTAGTACGAGGATAGTGGAACACAGTATTTACTGGCTAGGGACGATGCATGAAACTGGTGCGTTTCCCAGATCAGAAATTAAGAAATTGGGGCGAAAAGGTAATTTGCTTTACGGAGACGCAACCAGACCGTGAAGAAGCACATTCAGAAGTACGGATTAGTGGCGTGGTCAACAGCGTCAAAGTTCAGTTGAGGGCAAGGCGTCGGAGACAATTTGCCGATCGGCACCCATGGTGGAATGCGGCTGTGGTTGACGGAAGGAATAGAGGACGTCAACGAGAAGTGTGATGCCCTCTCCGTCATAAGGGTCAAGCACAGGTGCTTTCCACTGTCATCTTCGCTGGAGTGGCGACAACTGCTATCCAAGTCTGGAACCCCAGCCGGATGGCAGGACTTGACGTAGTTCATCCTCGTTTCGTTCACCTCCTTCGTATGAAATAAGCGCAGCACGTCATAGACTATTTAGTCCCCTATGAACTATTCGCAGCCCCGTATGGTCGCCGAGATTTGCCACCGTGTCAAAACTCTGAGGGCAACTATCCATCAGTTAAAAGCAGTGAACCCCCATTTTGCTTTGTCTTCTGACTGGTAGCAACGGGTTTACAGGTTAGTAGCCACAGCAACTCTTAGACCGGGGAGCAATGCGGAAATACCAATTACCCGCCATTCCACAGACCGCGCATGAGGATTTCCATTTAATTCAGTATTCCGTGATTTCGCTCCTAAATTCTCCAATTCATGCTGCAGTACCTGATGAGATGTCCTGACATCGAAGATGGACGAATGTCTTCCGTTCAAACTGCACTCGTTGGGCCTGGTTTTCGTTTTCTAACTCAAGACCCATTATCGCCGTCAGAGGTAGGAATGAAAAGAAGGCTACATCAACCACGCAATTGCGAAATTAACCTGTCCTGTCTTTGTGACTGGGAAATGGAAAGTAGAAAATGAAACGCTTTAGAGTTCCCTGTTACTTTTTATTATTGCTATTGTTATTCTTCAAATACTACTATTACTGTTGCCTTCTCCTCCACCTCCTCCTTCTCCATCTCCTCGCTTCAAACTCACAGACAGAGGGATGATGTTGACGAACGAAATTCTGAGGAATAAGAGCTTATGGTGTAGCGAGTAAGCAATGCGTTCGCGCACCGGAAATAAGATGAAGTTGCATCCTAGCTATACTACGCAATTTAAGTACTTTCCAAATGGTAGGAATGTTCGCCGGACCGTGTTTGCAGTTTAAGTGGTGTTCGAATTAACTAGTGATCCTTTTTAAACTGTATGCAGAGGTGGTTGACGAACCTTCCTTAACGGTAAGTGCATGTGTTCACAAAGGTCAGGTTGTTTTTATTATTATTCTCACTGTTATTTTTGTTCTTAGTGTTTTTGTTGTTGTTGTTTGTTTTTGCTGTTTGTTGTTGTTGTTGTTGATGATGATGATGATGATGGTGGTGGTGGTGGTGGTGGTGGTGATGATGATGATGATGATGATGATGATGATGATGATGATGATGATGATGATGATGATGATGATGATGATGATGATGATGATGATGATGATGATGATGATGATGATGATGATGATGATGATGATGATGATGATGATGATGATGATGATGATGATGATGGTGATTTGGCCCGACCAAAAACAGGAGCAGACGTCCAAATATAGTGCGCCGGGACGCTGGAGTCACCTTTCCCCTCAGGAACGTCACATGGCATGACTTCCTTGTCTGACGCAGGACATCAACGATCGCCTGAAGACTCTGCCTCTGCCTCTCTTGGAACGCATATCTGGGAACGCTGACATCGCCTACGCGCCCACTGATATCTGCAACAACAGTGGCCCTCTCCTCCTGCAGGTCCATATAAAAGACAACCTTCCTCCCCCCCCCCGCCACCAACACAATCTTTCGCCCTCCCACCCAGGGACGAGACAACTTGCATGCCTCGATGATAAGTGGCCTACACCCGCATCCGAAAATGGAACCAGCGCGATACGGATCACCGTCTTGTCGTCTCCGAGATCAGGGCTCTAACTCCAACACCGCAAAAACCCGAGAGGCAAATGAACAGTAGGTAAGATAATGGCTGTATTATGGGATTGGCTTACCCCTAACCTTAACGTCTATCCACTAACCCTGACCCCTAACAGGTGCAGGTACGAAATAGGATCTTGCCGGATAAGCCTTAACGTCGAGTGGATTTTAGCAGTCGCTTGCATTTCGACCTGGAACAAATGGAGGCATAAGATGTGAATACCGTTGTCGACACCGAACTGAGAGGACTGAGGGATTACAGTTTGACCGTCGTTGCCGGCGATGTCCACCGTGTGCTCAACAACGCGGTGACTCGCGCGTGAATCAGTTTAAAGTGTTAACAGACTTGCGCAGCATCTGCCGCACTCTCTCTTCCCATTCCCCACCTAGACCCAGTGTCAAGACAGAGTCAGGAAAGCCGGAGGCGGGGGAGCGCGAAGGTGGCTGACACGGCCGAAGCCGAAGGGGACTGAGGGATACCACCCGGGCCATCGGCATAGAAGCCCTCATTCGTGCACATTGACAGCACATGTTTGCCACCGACACTGCTCAGCTCCACAGTTGTGCATCTGGTGGCTAAGAGCAGCTCGTCCGGCTCGGTTGTGATGTTTAGGCAGCAGTCCTTTCTAAGAAGATTCTATGCCCTCCACCTGAAGCATTTCTCTACGTCTGCATACATCAGACGTTGGACGACTTCCTTGTGGTTTATTAAACCCAAATCTAGGTAACCCAATTTGATATTCGTCCGTCGGCATTGCAGTGAAAATGAGGCCTAGGGAGTGGATATGGGGCAGCACGTAACCCCGTCTAATTCATTGACACGGTGACGGCCTCTAAAGTTGATGCATTAAGAAGACTATGAGTGAAGACCTTTCCAGCAGAGCTAAAGAAGAGGATGGTTAGACGCTTATCACATAGCCAGCGCCTCCCTTCTCGTCCCGAGGAATACGCAGTGGTGGCTTCCTTGAGACTGCGGAGATTTGTATCAGACTCTACCGTCTCTAGGTAAAATGGGTCGGGCGAAATGAGATAATTTTATCTCTATCACTGTTACATTTTAGTACACCGCAAAATCGCTTGAGCTTAAACTAACAAATGCCAGATTTCATTATAATTTCATTGAACTGAAGAAGGAAAGTAGAGTGTGTCAAATCTAAATAGCTACAGTGATTCTTTTCGCAAACCTAATTATACCGTGAGAGCACACTAGGCGACCAACTGAGCAGACACGCCAGTTAGTTATGAACGTCATTATTCTTCCCACACATTCGCCTCACTCGCCTCCCCAATTTTAGCCGGTTTTATTGTGACTGCATACCAAGTCTTGCTTTTCTTTTGCTGGTGTGTCGGTTGAAGCGACCTTCAACCAATTGCTCTCTAAAGTCTGCGAGTGTCTCAAATTATTAACGCCAGTCATGTTTACTTCTGTCATTCAAAGGCCCACGAGACATTTGATTAAGTCACATCAGGCCGCAGGACTCTAGCGATTGATCGATCACCTTCAAATATCGATTTGATGTCAGTTTAAAAACTTTTCACCACAGACGGACGTGAACGGAGGCTGGCGGTGCCGCACGGAGCAGAGCGGATAAAGACAGCGTTCGCTGCCTGTTGGAACCAAATCAGAAAGTACACTTCAAGCCGTCTCACTCCTTCGTCCGCATCGTTTGTTTCCGGTCGGGAATCGGCAACAAGACTCCGGCATTGCTAGACTGGAGGGTGTCAGCGTAATGCTCTCAAGGGAATCTTCGTCCCAGTGTGGAGCCGAGACCGGCTGTGTGTGGCAATTATCTGAACGCACCCATAAGAAGCGATGCTACCCCGTAAAGGAAAGGGAGAAAGAGTTCATATTTGGAGGAGACACTTAGTGTGCAACTGTGGGGGAAGACGACGAGAGGCACACCACGAAAGATAACGTGGAAACAAAGTCGGGGGAATGGATCACAGTGAAGGTGGTCCGAAACCTCAAAGAGTTGACGCTTCTTATTATGAAGAGAAACCACATGTGTCAGGGGTTGCGTGTAATATATTAGCGTCGTAGTCACTCTACACTTGGACTGAAAATGCCCTTGCAAGCAATGCACTGACAGCCTCTCGTCTAGGGATAACGGAGTCTGCGTCCCCCTTCCCGGACAAGGTCAGACATCGGGCACTAGGAAAGCCATTTGGTACGGCACCGGTTTCACGTCTGAATTCCTCCCCCACTTTTTTAACATATGTTGTTTTGTTTTCTGCAAAATGGACTGATTTTCAGCTGTCCTCTCATCTTCTGTTTTTCATGTTACTAGGGAAGGTAGATCTGTGGAATATGTTTAGATGAAGTATCTTGAGTTTTATTGTCCCGAGATTACGTTGACGGTGCATGTGAGTCTCCGGGATTGTGTTTGTTGTAAACATATCCACATTTATCCGGATTTTCGGCGAGGTTTGGTTCCGCAACACTACTTTATTGATATCGTATGGTTAGCTTACTAAAACAATATCCTCAGCATATCCAACTTAGACACTCGCTGAATAAGGAGGGCAAAGAGAGCGCAATCAGAGCTCGACGCACGCGCAGGGAAGTGAGTGAATGTGGTGTGTACACACTCTCCCCGCGACACAGCCACTGATTGGATTAAGAGGGTACGGAGTGCGCAATCACAACTGGAAGGCAACGGAGGCAATCGCGGGGTGATTTGCAGTGTACAGCCACTTTAGTGGAACCGACAGGGTTCCACACTGTCGGAACAATTCCATTAGCAGGCTTACTTAGCCACTCGCTGTATTAGTATAATGAAGAGGGCACAAGCCAGGCCCGAAGCATGCGCAGGGAAGCGCGTGGAACACATAACTCATGTAACCGAGGCTGGCGTATAAGCACTCCTCCTTCCGTGGCACAGGCACTCGCTGCATTAAAATGGTAAAGAAGATGCAAAAAAGTAATAGTATTACCCAGGCGGGTTTGCAGGACTAAACCTCGCTGGATTTTCTTACCCTAAAAACGCTAGCATCTCAGTCGAGGATACGGTGGCGAAGAGCAATCTTTTTGTTGAAGCTTAGACAAGTAGGGCGTAGTTTTTATGGTTTTTTAAGAGGTCCTGTGGTCAATATTAACAACTGATTATCCGCACAAAAGTGTTCCCACCATTCAATCAACCAAGTTGATTTCTTTGGGCGTTACGCAGCCCCATGCTGAGATGCAGCGCTGTCCTCTGTGCTGCTAGCTCCGAGCTACGGTGTCTGCAGTGGATGCCTGGCCTCCTAAAACCGGTGGATTCGTGTCGAGACCTGAAATCTCCCCCATCCTAACGTTCCGTCTCCTAAATCCGTTTTCCCCCTCTGTGTTTCGTTCGGTATCTTTGCTACAAAGGTAAACTTACGTGCCTCAACTCCTATCATTTATGATTGCGCTCCGATATCATGGATGAAATTCAAGCACCAGACAAACGAGCCATTGACGAGCCGATTATAGCCACAGAGCGACAAGACTGCTGTGATCCGGACCCCGAAGGTTTCTCCATCCCGGAAGGACCCGGACAGCAGAGAAGAAGGACGTTTTACACTGGCGATGGTAGACACATGATATGCAGGCATGAGCGACAGACGTTCGTACGGATCCAGAAGCAGCGGGTTGTAATCAACCTGATTAATCAACTTGTAAATTATTCCCGTCTCATAGAATGGGGTTTGTTGGTGTTGTCTTTCGTTCTTCAGGAGCTGTTTATGCTTGAAATCAAATTACCCACCTATTAATTCGAGGGTTACCTTTACTCTTTTGCGTAATCTTCCCGTCAACTGGAAGGCATGTACGCTGGTTTTCATCAATCTTAACACCTACTGAAAATTGTGACAGGAAAATGTAAGAGGAATACTTTTTACCACTAACACAACAAGCATTACAAGCAGCATCATTACAATCACCGACATCGCCAGTAGTCACACAACCATCACCATAATCTTCACCGTCATTAACATCAACGCGAATGCCATAAAAATATCCAAAATAACGAAGAATAGAAGCTCACGGTGTATCACATAGGTCATTCGTCCTGTGAGTGCATCAATTGCTGCATGAGCGCTTCTTAAAATACTGTGAACGACCTCGTCAAGCGCCATCTGAGACAGTATATTGAGAAATTTTCGGCGAGGTCCGACAGTAGTTGGAACTGAACGGCCTATAGTTCGAAGTACTCTCGGATGTTTTCAATAAGATTGTGATATTAAAATGGGGTGTGTTCAACTTGAGGAGCGTTGATATCATAGCAAAGAATAAATTTCACCACCAGCAGCTCGACCGTCGTTGCCGACGATGTCCACCGTGTGCTCCACAACAAGGTGGAGCAGACATGGCGACTTGTGCGTGAACTAGTTTTTAATGACGACGGACTTTCGCTGCCTCTACCTCACTCTCCCCCTCCTCCCTCAGCTGCGCTCGGTGTCAAGGCAGAGTCAAGGATACTGAAAGCATGGGGGCGTAGGCGGATGGTACGGTCCAGTACGTATCCTGGCGCCCCACTCCGCACTTCCTTGCCCACACACCGAATGACCAGGATGTTGACCAACAACAAAAGGTGCTCGTGGCCGGAGCCGCACCTAGGCGTGCGTCCACACCCGGCTCTGATCCCACACAGTGGGAGTACCATAAAGGCCA